GCATGATATTACTTATATGTGGAAACTAAAATATGATGCAAATGAACTTATCTATGAAACAGAAACAAACCCACAGACATACAGAACAGACTTGTGGTTGCTAAAGGGGAGGGGAGGTGGGGGAGGGATGGACTGGGAGTTTGGGATTAGCAGATGCAAACTATCATATATAGAATGGATAGACAACAAGGTCCTACTGTATAGCACAGGGAATTTATATTCAAGATCCTGTGGTAACCATAATGGAAAAGAATATGGAAAAGAATGTATATATATGTGTAACTGAATCATTTTGCTGTACAGCAGAAATTAACACAACATTGTAAATCAACCATACTTCAATATAATACATCTTTTTAAAAATTGACTTGATTTTAGTCTGGACTGATCAAGAAAAACCATGAAGGGACTAAATTTACCTGGAATTAACTAAATTAAATTCTACCATCAGGCAGAAAGGGAGCTGGAAAAAGAAAATTTAAGATCATTTAATTATAGAAATACATACTTCGAACACCTTGAGGTTTGGGACTTGAGAATTCAAACTTTCTACAAATGTAAAGACTGAATGAGGAATTTGGACACTCCGGCACATGTCACTAACAGAGCTTGCCATTGATTACTGCAGAGCTAAGTAAGAGAGAATAGAGGCTGGTTAGCAAAACGGCAATCTTTCTGTACTGCAGCACAGATGTGAGATGCAGTTTTATTCATTATACAGGTTAAAAACAAAATCATGGCTCTCTATAAGTTTTCGTCTAATTCACTGAATGCATCAGAAAGGAGAGGTGGATCCTGGTGAGTTTAGGCCAGATATGCCTCTCTAAACGTCACTGAATGCACAACGGAAAACATTTTCACATCCGGATCATTATAAATTTTTAAAAACATCTTAACCCCTGTGTACTCTGCCTCCTTTGCCCACTGACTCCAGAACCTAGCACTGCAGAGGGCCTCAGTGTGGCTGCTTACCTCCCGGGAAGCACCCAAGCTCTGGACAAGCACCCCTGCTCCACCCCTACCCCCAGAAGCGATGAGATCTATCAGCCAGCCTCAGTCTTCCTTGCATAGATGCCAAATACTCTGTGCTTCACATTGTATTCCTACAATTTTATTAATGTAATTTGTTGACAAAAGGGGTAATAATCCATTGCAATATTGTTTCACGTGAAAAAGTTTCCAAAATGACTTGCAATTTTTTTTACTAGATTTTTTTTTATATTTACATATTTGGTTGCACAGGGTCTCAGTTGCGGCAGGAGGGTTCCTTAGTTGCAGGTCCAGGGCTCCTTAGTTGTGGCATGCGGGCTCCCTAGTTGCGGCACATGGGCTCCTTAGTTGTGGCATGTGAACTCTTAGTTGCGGCATGAATGTGGGATCTAGTTCCCTGACCAGGGATCGAACCTGGGCCCCCTGCACTGGGAGCACGGAGTCTTATCCACTGCGCCACTAGGGAAGTCCCTAGATTTTAATTTGAGAAAAATCTACACATGCCTTAATTCCTGAAACTAAATAGAAAACGTTTCAAAATACACCCAGATGTTACTTAAATTTAGTCTTTTTTTATTGAGATATAATTGACATATAATATTGTATTAGTTTTAGGTATACAACATAATGATTTGACATATGTATATATTGTGAAATGATCACAATTAGTTAACATGTATCTCCACACAGTTACAAATTTTTTTTTCTTGTGATGAGAACTTTTAAGATCTACTCCCTCGGTAAACTTCAAATACACAATATTGTCAACTAGAGTCACCACGCTATACACTACATCCCAGGACTTATGTATCTGGTAACTGGAAGTTTGTACCTTTTGACCCCCTTCACCCATTTTGCCCACTCTCCACATGTACCCCCAATATCTCCACCTCTGGCAACTGATAATCTGTTCTCTGTATATTTCAGTTAGTTTTTGTTTGTCTTTTGTTGTTGTTCCACATATAAGTGGATCATATACTATTTGTCTTTCTCTGTCTGACTTATTCCACTTAGCGTAATGCCTTCAAGGTCCATCCACGTTGTTGCAAGTGGCAGGATTTCCTTCTAGTTCGTGGCTGAATAATATTCCACTGTGTATATATACCACCTTTTCTTTAACCATTCATCCATTGATGGACTCTTAGGTTGTTTCCATGTCTTGGCTCTTGTGAATAATGCTGCAATGAACATGGGGGTGTAGACCTGTTTTTGAGATAGTGATTAAGCTTTCTTCCAATAAATACCCACAAGTTGAATTGCTGGATCATAAGGCAGTTCTATTTTTAATTTTTTGAGGACCCTGCATACTGTTCTCCATAGTGGCTGCACCAATTTACATTCCCACCAACAGTGCCGAAGTGTTCCCTTTTCTCCACACCCTCAGAAACACTTACTTCTGTCTTTTTGATAATAGCCAGGTAACAGACAGGTGTGAGGTGATAGCCCATTAGGGCTTGATTTACATTTCTCTGATGATCAGTGATGCTGAGCACCTTTTCATGTACCTGTTGGCGTTTGTACATCTTTGAAAAAATGTCTCTTCCTCTCCCCATTTTTAATTGGACTATTCGTTTGTTTGTTTTTGCTATTGAGTTGTATGAGCTCTTCACTGAAATTTAGTCTTTACTCGGATGTTCAGCATCACACCACACCGGTACACCCATAGAGATTGATATGCTAATGCCACAGTCAGAAATTCAGTTTTCCTATTTCTGTGTAAATTTTTATTTTGCCCTATGCTATCATAGGCACTAAGTAGTAGAGAATGAGAATATCATCAATGATTTGAAATATAGAAATAGTAATGCAATAAATTTTGTTGTTGTTTTTGGCTGTGCTGCGTGGCTTGCAGGATCTCAAGTTCCCTGAGCAGGGACTGAAGCCCGGCCACGGCAGTGAAAGCCCAGAATCCTAACCACTAGGCCACCAGGGAACTCCCAGTAATGCAATATTTATTCAGAGAAAATATTCCTATGTGCCTTTTTGTTACATTTTTACTCCATTTTCTATTATATTACAAATTCATTAGGTATAATTGATTTTCTCCTCCCTCCCACATTTTATTTTCTGTGTTGTTTTTTCACTGGCTTATTTCAAACCCCTAATTGTATATTTCTCATCCATTTCTTTATTTCTTTGCCCACGGGTTCTACTTTTCCATCAATTCCTATGGGCTCCCATTACAATGAGTAATTAATCTTCTTTGCCTTTTATTTCATCTCCGCTTCTTGAAATGCCTGCTCAACCTTGTTCTTTTCCATCTTTTCAATCTTGGGTAAGTTTTCTTTTGTCTGTCTGTTTGTTTGTTTCCTGGGAGTTTCAGAAAGATAATTCCCTATTTTCTCCCCAAGATCTGGATTTCCTATTCGTAAATTAAATTTCTCTTCTTTCATTTTTCTCTACTCTCTACTGATCTCTTCAGCTTTTTACTTTCATAAAGTTTTTCCTCTACTGAACTCTCCTAAACTCTTATGTTGAACTTATCCAAATAATCCAAATAACAGGTTTCTAGAAGTGCTGAGAGTTTAAAATTTCCTCTCATTCTGCACAGTAAACAGTGGAGAGTTCTAGAAGTAAATGTAGCTGTTTATATTTCAAGTAATAGTGGGGTACGGTTGGATTTATTATGGCAATTTGAACATTTATTAAGTGCTAACTCAGTGTTAAGAACTACCCTGATACCAGGATTTAACTCGGCCAACAGGCAAGGAATCTCAATCAGGCAAAGACAAGGGTCACATGCTTCCATTGCTGCAGCCACCTACACGTGACACTTGGTAGCTGATCAGCGTACTGAGTGAAGGAATGAATGAAGCTGTTTTGAAGCTTCAGGGGATGGTGTGGGACCCCAATCTCATCTCCTGTTGCAGCAGGGAGAGTAATTGACTGAGTGCCTCGGCGAGCGACCTTCCTTGGAATCCACCACCAGGATCCTCAGAAGGGAACTTGTGCTCCAGCACTCTGGCCCGTCTGGCCAAAGCCATCTCAAAGCAGCATTGCAAGCGGAGACCTGCCCACCCACTCTGCCTGCTCTGCCTCCCCTTCCCAGAGGTCAGATCTCCCTGCCTCTTCCAACTCTCTCCCTTTCTTCCCTCATAGATATTTCCTCCCATCAGTCTCCTGCATGACAGTCCTGTCTTGGCATCAATTTTGCAGAGGAGCTGAACTACAGAAATATAAGATTACCCTGAAATCTAGATTTGTCCTCCTAAGTGAGTGACCCTCCTCTCCTGAAAAGTCATTCAAGGAGAGAGAACTTCAATTTATAACCAACTACTTCACCAACCTCCCACCCTTAGAGCCACGCCCTACACCAGTCCCCAAGGATATAACAGGGCCTCGCCTTACACCTTCCCCACCTCACCTAACAGCGCGTGCGGGCACACACACACACCTTCCTCTTTTGCAAGCGTTATTATTTATTTCTTTGAGCCAAGTAAGCTTATCCTTTGAATGTACTCTCCCTTTCTCCTCTTATTAAGGCATTGTTACTACATTAATGATGAAAATAAAATGCTTTGCATAAGAACAGCATTTTTGTTACCTTCCTGAGCCCTTTGTAGAAACATTACCTCATTTGATCCACATAATAACTGAGACGAGCCAGGACCAGTATTATCCGCCCTACTTCACAGACGAAGAAACCGAGACCCAGACTAATCTCTGGGGGTGTCAGTTTCCAAGTCTGCCCAGTGAAGACTTGAACCCTATGGCCTCTAAGTACTCCTCCACTTCTAAAATGGTACCACTTCCATAATTTGTCTGAAGTTACAAAGCTAGTGGTTAGCGCTGGATTAGGGATCTGAGATGAATGCCTTCGGGTGCCAGGCGAATTCCCCCACACCATCTTGTCTTTGCTGACCACAGCGATGGCTAACACTTATGAGCTGGCCCTGTGCTAATTCCTCACAGGGACACTGCTGAATGCCTACTCGGCGCCCCGCCCGCTCAGTACCCCCTATCTAAAAGGATGTAGATTTCAGTCCCACACACACTTACCAGGAGCCGACCCCACCCTCATTCTAAGGATATGCTCTGGTTGACTGGTGGGTTTAACCTGATCAAGGCTTTCCATTCTCCTGGCCAGAGTTACTGGTCTAGGGCTGGGCCCGGGCCCAGGCAGTCCAAGCTGGGTGAACTGGAGGATTCTGGCCTGGAACACATGACGGGAAGTGCACTCTCTCCTACTGAACATAAATTAGGAAAGCACTGGCTTTATTGCACCAGCAGCCTCTTCATGCCCCAGGGGGAAGCCGCAGGATTCTTCTTTGGGCTGATAGTTTCGAGCAGCTGAAATCTATGAGATGTCTACATCTCTAAAACTATAAGCAAACAACAGACGCAAAGACCAATGAAGTCACTGAGAACCAGGGAGTTACTAGATTGGGCCAGACTCATAGCACCTGTTTGGGGCGGTTAGGACTAGATTTCACCTTTCCAACTACTGACCTGGGGTTCTCTGCGCCTCAGAAAGTAGAGGATGCGCCCCTGTGCAGGGGTCCAGACAGAGGGCTCACTGCTGAATGGAACCCCAGCAGTATGTCTGAGGGGGGAAGGGGAAACTGGAAGGGGCTTCCTCCTATTCTGCTTTCCCGCCTAAGGTAGAACCCATGACAGGGCCCCAGCTGAGTGTGACGGCAACATGGAACGGAGACTCCTTAAGGAGAAGGCGCTGCCAGCCAAGTATGTGCCCACCTGGGGTCAGGGAGAGGGCAAGGCAGTGTCAACATGCTGTGACAGCTGGAGAAGAGGTGGGCAAATGGGTAGCCTTGGGGCAACAGGCCTTGTTTCTCACTCTCCTTCTCAAAGAACAGCCAGATACAAAGCGCACAAAGAAACACAGAATAGTTACCAAGAGAATAGCTATTTTTCCAACTCACTTACCTGTAGGTGCGTCTATACAATCCTGGCGGAACCAGGCGTGAAGGACAGTTTGGTAAGTTCACTTGATCACAGCTAATGTACCATTCATATTTATTCATCAAGGATGTACTGAGTGCCTGCTTTGTGCCTTGGAGATACAGCTCTGAAAAGACACAGAAAAGGCACCTGTGTCCAGGAGCTCACTCTTAATGGTGGCGGGGAGGTGAAGGGGAACGGAACAGAACAAGTAAACAAGATGATTTCAGGCTGTGCTCATGCTCTGAAGGAAATAACAGGGTGAAATGACAGTGAGTAATTGCTTAGGCTGGAGGGGTCCTACTTTAGATTCAGGGTCAGAAATGCCTCCTGGGGGGACATGGGCTAAGCCACGTGAAAAGTCTGAAGAACAGCTGATCCAGACAGGTCAGGAAACAGCAGCAAGTGCAAAGGCCCTGTGGCAAGAAGCACTTGGTGGTCATTGTGCAGTGACCAGAGGCTGGAAAGCCAGGATCCTCTAAGGCAGAACCTCAGAGGTCACTGCAGGAGCTTTGTAAAGACCCCCTGTGACAGGTGGGAATGTGGCTGGAAGCACCGGTCTGCCATTCTCCCGCGGACACTGAGGCATGATGAATCTCCTGATGGGCCTCTGGAGTCTGACCTGGGTCTAAGTTTGTGATCGCCCTCTTTAATAACCTTGGGAAAGCTATTGGAGTTTCCCATTTGAATAATCAAGGATTTCTCCTGTTTGTAGCCAAAAGACTTGTGTGGGGATTTGCTCCAACCCTCAGCTTTATCAGACAGTTCATCCTTACGGTCAAAAGCAGTCATTTACAAAAGTGGCACAAATTAAACACACACACCCCAAACGGTTATAGTAACAATACTGTATAAACAACCGATATAAGAGTAGCTTCCCCAGGAAAAAACTCATTATGTCGCTGCGGTAGTCAAGTTTGTCATTCGTCTCACAAGGTCCTTTAAGAACTCAATCTTGATCCCAGGGCTGGGTTTATCTGGGCGTTCCAGTTCATTTTCCGTTTCAAAAACGCAAAGCAATAACCATATTAACGTTGATATTTATCTTGTTTATCCCTGACTCTCCCTGTTACGCTGAGTTCAGTGGGACGGCGCGGGGGGGAAAGAGGGGATGGAGAAGGGGGGAGGAGAAAGGGGACGCGAAGAAAACCTTACGGATTGGACACCGGGAGGAAACCTGCAGAAGGCAGCGATTTCAGGGAAGAAAGGAAAATGCGAAGTGACGCAAGGAGGAGGAAAGGGGCGGAGGAAAGGAGCAGGAGGGAGAGCGCGGGCAGCGCTGAACGCGGAGCCCCAGGGTAGGCGGGGCAGGGGGCGCGGGGTGCCCCGGGGCTCGGGACTCAGGCTCCCTGAGCGACGGAAGCAGGGCGGGGAGAGAGACGTAGGGGAGACAGTAAATACTGGGAGAGGAGAAGAGGCGAGGGACAAGAGCGGGACTTGTGAAGGCGGACGGAGACGGCCGACTGAGGACGACCGCAGCCACCGCGAGCCGAGGGGCCTGCCAGGGCTCGGTTTCCCGAGAGGGGCCGCGGAGGGGCGGGGCGGCGGGCGTGAGGCCAATGGGAGAACGAACCGGGGAGGACCGGGGCGGGGCGGCGGGCGTGAGGCCAATGGGAGGATGAGTCGGTGCGGGGGTGGGCCACCAGGCAGCTCGAGGGCCAATGGGAGGGGAGCAGGGGGCAGGGCTCTGGGCGACTCTAGGCCAATGGGAACCCGAGCCAGGGGCGAAGGCGGAGCGCCAGGCGGCGTAAGGGCCAATGGGAGGCTGAGCCGGGGAGCGCGGGCGCCCGTCCGGCCCAGCGCCGGGGGAGAGGGACCCGGGAGGCGGTGGGGGCGGGGTGCGGGGCTGACAACCTGTCAAATCCACTTTGGGACGAACTAGGTCACGCGCCTCCCGGAGCCAGGGCACCCCCGCCCCGCGAGGTCCGGCTGCTTCCTCTTCCTGCCGGCGATGGGGGCGGGGCGGGCGGCTGGGACACCTGCCTCCTCGGCCCCACGGCCGCTCGCCGCTCCCTGACGGCCGGGCCCACCGCGGCTGCGCAGTTGAAAATGTGTTGTCTCCCGAGCGGCCCTTCAAAGTTGAGAACTCCCACAGCTCCGGCCCTCCTCATGCCGCTAGATCGAGGGGCAGTGGGCGCGTCCCCGCAGGCCCGCGTTTGCGGAAGCGGGACGGCCGCGCACTACTTGGCGCGGAAGGACCCGAGGGCGGCGGAGGGATCCCGAGCTCGCCGACCCACGGCAGTCTGGGCCCCACGGCGTACGGCTGGCAGCTGGGCCGCGGCGAAGCGTGGGCGGTCACCCGTCCGGCGCCGACGGGGCCCGCCGAGTAGAGCTAGGGCGGCAGCCCTGTCGCGCCGCGGCCCTTGGTCCCCGTCACCTGTTTCCACCGGGACGGGATCCGGCCTCCCTCGCCGGGAGGCGGGCGGGCCGAGGAGGGCGCTTTGTGTCCCGGCGGCGGGACGGGTGGCGGGGGACCCGCTGTTCCCCCGTCCCTGTCCTGTTTGTCGTTTGGACGCTGCTCCTGGCTTAAGCTGGGCACGTAGTTGTCGGATTGTTTCCAGGCGAATGAAATGAAATAAAAGCCTCAATTAGAAGTCAGCATTCATCCAGGTCCGAGGGTTATAAATTTGCTCCAGCATCATCATGTAGGATTTATGCCCGTGTATTTCTCCTGCTCAGACCATAAGTCCACTTCTCTTCAATATGGATCCACAGTAGAGCCGTATCCGTCTTTTTCAGGTCTTCAAAATGGATCTTGATGCACAATCTGTTTAAGCAATACTTATGTTAATGTATTGATTCCCTTCATTATATTCCTCGATGCAAGTTTGTTTAGGATTTTTGCATTGAATGGACAGTAAATGCAATGCTTTGTTTAATTTTTACTACTTGGCCATTCAAATTATGTTAATTTCCCCCCAGAACAAGATGATGCATTGTTTTACGTAACAATGACCATCTCCTCTACTCTTTTACCAAATTGTATATAAGCTAAGGGTAAAATGTAGATTAAAAACGTTAAAATTTGAACAATAAATTTAAATTTTTGACATAGCAACTATCTGAAGTGTTTCTTTGCAATACTACTGTGAAATGGAACAAAGAAAAAACAATTCCTTTTCATTCACATAACATTTCTTTAAGCAAATATTTCTTGAATATATTCAAGCACTGTGCTTGAACATTTGCATGTTTTTATACGCGAAGCATTGTGCTCAAACATTTTTATGACTTTACCAAATGCATATTTCATCAGTAAAAGAATTTTTTTTCCTTTTAAAGTTCAGCCTTTAATTAAATACATGTTAGCTACCACACTGGGAAGAAAACAATATACTATGTCATTTATGTACAGAATTACAGATGTACATTTTTTACATTTACCAGAAACGTCATCAAGAAAGAAAACTATGGAGAAAGTAAAAAAAAAAAAAAAAAAAAAGTAAAATGTCCTTTAAGTTCAACATAGGAGCTTAATCATTAATTAGCTTGAAGAACTACAGTATTTATTATTCTATAATATAGGATTATCAATAAAAGGTTGGGAAAGAGATGTCCAACCTTTTTTTTCCCCAACCTTTTTTATAAAAATTAAAATCTGGGAATTCCCTGGCAGTCCAGTGATTAGGACTCAGCGCTTTCACTGTAGGGCCCCGGGTTCCATCCCCTGTCCGGGAAACAAAGATCCTGCAAGATGCGCAGTGGGGCAAAAAAAAAAAAAAAAAATTGAAATCTAAGAAAACGATAAAAAGATCTCTTTTAGGTTTCATTATAGCTCATACCTGATTGCCAGTTAATTTCCCAAAAGGGGTAGTTTTTCTCTGTTTTGACCAATTGGCAACCCAACAGAGTTAGAAGCTCTTAGCCCACATTGGGGATACTTTTAAAAAAGTAGTATCTCTTCTTACTTCGAAAGTTTTTTTAATTAATTGCGACTGAAAAGTGGGTTTTTTTTTGGTGGGGTCATATTTTTTAATGTTAATACTCTCTAGTAAGACAATAAAAGCATGTGTTTTTCTTCCACAAACGAACCACAAGATTGTCTATTGAAAATCAACACTGAAAACGTGAGAATGAATTGTATACCCTTATACAAAACTTGCATGCTGGAACTTAGCCACTAGAACTAGATATATTATATCACATTCATGAGTAAAACTAGAGATTTTTAAGTTTAAACAAGTGCAATACTAAAACAATCATCTTGCTGCTTTGGGGTATATTTTCAGTCCTTTAACAAAGGGTTAAAAACAGCATTTCTTAAAATGAGTGTTTTGATATGATGTGTCACATCTTTTTTCTTAACTTCTAATTTCATAAGAAAGCTAATTCCTTCCATTTCTCTCCTCAAATATGAAAATTAGAAACATGCTGCCTTAATTATTTCTTCTGTTATATCCCTTATTAGCAAATTCTTTTGGAATAGAGTGGGGATATTAATTACCTTTATACATGGAGTTACTGTTTTGCGTAAACAGTACATGCATAATTCCCTCCTGTAAGGAGGATTTTATAATTCCCTACCCAAATGTCTGGGCACAGTTTTATTTCTCAGTTGGTAGTACATTTCTTGTACTAGAAGGAAAGAGTAGGCAACCTCTTTACTTCTTTTGGGGAGGAGGGTGGGGGGCTTTACCACAGTGTAAAGACGTCCTCAGGGTAGCTCAGCCTAGGCTGTGTGGTTGGAAATTCAGCTTGGACCAAAAGAGGTGACAGATTCTGTGAGTGTGAAGCAAACGCCTTGAGTTTAAGGTTGCAAACCAGTGGTCTGCAGAGGTGTTTTGTTTGCCTCTCACAATGTTTAGAAATCTTAAAATTAGTTTCCAAGATTTAAAAAAATGGGAGACTTCAGATAAATATACAGAATTGTAGCTTCTCTTGAAAATTAGACAAATATGGCTCATTTCTTGCCTGGTTACATGCTGCTCTAGCTGACTAGCTGCTGTCCCCTTTAGATGGGGTGTACACGGTATACGCTGGGCTCCGTGCAATCATTCATTTTAGCCACCTGGCCACTGGAGGAATGAGTATTTGGAATACCTGCTCTAGGTTATATAAAATTGTGAAAGTCTTCACCACAGAGAGAAGTTAGACTTAGGAAGAAGAGATGATCTTAGATTTTTGTTCTAAGTAAATATAATGAGCTCAGAAATGAAAAGCTAGTGGAATTATATGTGGCAACTGGCTGCATCCTGTTATTCCGCTTATTGGTCCCCTGGCACAGGGAAAGCTCAGGTTGTATCAAGTTAAGTTTTTAATTAAAAATGGAAATAATGTTTTTTGTGCTGTACTTTCCACTTACAAAGTCACTGCCTTGGTTCCAATGAATTTCACTGAAAGTCTTGGCTAGTAGAACCTAGGAATAGTAGTCAATTGTGAAAGATTGTGCAAGAAGGGATTCCCCCAAAGGCTACACAATAACGAGAATGATAATGACAACAATGTCTTGACATTACTGAGCAATGACCATGTGCTGGACATTGTTCTAAGTGCTTTACCTAAATTATGTCTTGTTATTATATTTTATTTTATTTTTGGCCATGCCATGCAGCTGGCGGGATCTTAGTTCCCCAACCAGGGATTGAACCGCACCCTTGGCAGTGAAAACGCAGAGCCCTAGCCACGGGACCACCAGGGAATCCCTCGTTATTATATTTTAGTTTCCTATTTGCTACCTCGTCTTTCTTTTCTTCTTGAAGCTGCCTTGAACCCTCTAAGACTCAGGCATGAGGTGAATGCTCTCATTTACTATAGCATAGGATGGCACTAACCTTCGCCTATATTACTGGTCCTAAAAGTACCCAGATGTCCTTTCTTTTCTGCCTTTCCCTGGCTGTACCCCAACCTTGTCCTCTCTTGGGCCTTTTCCTGCCATGGTCTTTGTGTCTCCCTATTGGAATCAGACTTCTCACCTCAGCAAGAAATATTCCCTTTCTAGGGCAGAGAAGAGGGAGAGTCAGCCAAGACTGGGGCAACAAATGTGATAGGAAGAGAGAGAGGAGTAAGCTGGACAGCACTAAGGACAGATAAAGGGAGACAGACACACAACAGCCACCACCCACACTCTCCAACCAGGACAGCAGCAGCATCAAAACCAACAACAAACCCAGTAATGACAGCAGCACACTAGAAAAGGCGCCGAGTTTGTGTTCAGACGGATTATGTGTTTGATGACTGTTGGGAGTGTGAAGTAGACCAACTCAGCAGAGTTACATTTGGGTAGAGTTCAGATACGACAATG